CAATAAGCTCATGTATAAACATTTTGTTTGTAGGAATCTCCAGCTTGTGGGGTATATTTTGTCATGGCAGCTAAATTCCATTACTGAACTACTCTTAAGTTATCCTAAATATGCTTTTGAAGTCATTAAGTTCCAGCCTGACTACTATAATTTTCTGAGACTGAGATCTAATTTAACTCTTTTGTCCAAGGTTATGGTGGAAAGAGAGGGGCAGTAGAAAAATGTCCTGTGTGTAAAGGAAGAGGGATGCAAGTTATAGTTCAGCAGATTGGACCTGGCATGGTGCAGCAAATCCAAACTGTATGCCCAGAATGCAAAGGCCAAGGTGAAAGAATAAATCCGAAGGACAGATGTGACAACTGCAATGGCTGTAAGGTTGTAAGAGAGAAAAAGATCATAGAAGTTCATGTTGATAAAGGTAAGAACTGTATATTTGTACTGGTTCCCAAATAATAGTCAATAATAGTCTATAGTTCTGCAGAGCATAAATGGGTTTCTTTTCTTCAGGTATGAAAGATGGTCAGAAGATAGTGTTTCATGGAGAAGGTGACCAGGAGCCTGATTTGGAGCCTGGTGATGTCATAATTGTGCTTGATCAAAAGGATCACAGTGTCTTTCAGAGACGAGGGCATGACTTAATCACAAAAATGAGAATTCAACTCTCAGAGGCCTTATGTGGTTTCAGAAAGACAATTGAAACTCTGGACAACAGAGTTCTTGTTATATCTACTAGGCCAGGTAGGTTGTTAAGAGTACTAATACAATGTGAACTGCTTGCCTGTTTAATTGTACCTGGACTGGAGTTCTTGGGGGAGATTGTTCTATTTGGGTTTTTTTCCCTAACCAGATGATGCAACAGATTCATGAGGCAGTCAATTTAGTTAGTTCTTTGTTGTTGTTACTGTCTAAAACATACAGAATCATACCTAAAGCTGTCAAATACTTAATAGATCTCAGGCCCAGTTGGTGGATAGCCAGGAAGATATTAAAGAGGAAATAATCTTAAATTCTACTAAATTATCTGTTCATTCAGCCTGAAGATTGTGCCAAGAAAAGTGTATTTCTCTTAGAGCAGGGGAAATAGTCTAAGTGGCCTTAGTTGTGTACAGCTTGGGTGTAGGTCCTTCCTGTAAATTGGTTACAATCTCCCTGAGGTGCCATGAGAACACTGCTTGTGTACAGCCCTGCCTCATGTGGCTGTGAAATGCCCATCCCATCATAGCAGCCCACTTACTGCTCTTGCCTCCACAGGTGAAGTGATAAAACATGGCGACCTGAAGTGTATCTACAATGAAGGGATGCCTGTCTACAAATCTCCAATGGACAAAGGCAGCCTGATCATACAGTTTTTGGTAAGCTGCATGCTTTGCTGTAGCCAGTATACTCATGTTTGTACATGAATAAATACTCATTTTAAAAAATACATACAACTGTAGGTCCAGTTTCCAGAGCACTACTGGCTCCCAAGGGAGAAACTGTCTCTACTGGAGGCTCTGCTTCCTTCACGAGAAGATGTTATGGTTACAGATGAGATGGATCAGGTAGACCTTGAAGATTTTGATCCAAACGAACAAACCTACCGTAACAGTGCAGGAGAAGCATATGAAGAAGATGAGGAGGGTCCAAGAACAGGAGTACAATGTCAGGCATCTTAAAGCAAGGTGGAGCGGATGTCATCTAAGATGTAAATTTTCACAATGAAAACTGCATGGCTCTAATAGCCACTGCTTGCGGTTTTTGTGTTCAGCAAATTGAGTTGCTGCGCTGTCAGTATCACCTTTTTGTAACTAATTTATATTGTGTTCTTGTAGTCTTTCTATATAAAGCAAATGTCATACAGCTGAGAACCAAGTTCGTATGCATTTTCCTTGCTGTGGAGGTTCTCAATTTATTCACCTGTGCTATTTCTATAAGACTTTGGCAATACCTTTAGAGGCTAAGTGGAGTGTCTTATGTAAATACTTTCATACTGGAAAATTAATTTCATAGAATAAAACATAGCAGAATAACCTCTAATAAATAGTACTTCACCTTTTCTCTTGCTTCTCTTGTATTTTCTAACCCATTCTGGAACCCCCTTTATTTAAACAAGTTCTTCTAAGCTCAGACTCATGTCATCTAGTCTAGATTATTTGTGTTAGCTGCATCACTCATACCCGTCTCATTTTGTATTTCAGAAGCACTTTGTGCATGCCCCCCCTCTCTGCCTCATAGCTCTCCTCCTGTGTTTTGTGGGTTTACAGTAACATTCCTTCAGCTGCTTCTCTGTGTATGACCTAAGGTTACAAGCTGTCCTCTAATGTGTTACATACAAGCAAATAGTTGCAAATAAAAGTTTGACCTTTCAGAAGCTCAAGCTTTGTATTTCAGCCTTCCCTAGGAAGGGTTTTTACTTCCTCCTAGGCATTGTATACTTGTGCCTTAACTAAAATGAATAAACCAAAACCACCTGCACCGGGTATACTGCTGCTGTTTTGAAACATACATGATACTACAGTACAGCAATCCCATTAAAGCTTTTTTCCATTTAACCTGTTTGCTCGTAGTGTTTGTATTAGGTCAGGGTTAGAAACAAGTGGTCCCCTTTAGTGAAATTAAACCATGATGAATGATCCATGTCCATGTACCACACAATTGTTGAAACAGGTGTTCAGCTTAAGTGATCCTTTCAGGACAAGCCGAGGCTGTCATTTCCCATGTCTAGAACAGCCTCAGTCATTTTCCTTCTGCTAAAATAAGCTGTTGTAACACTTACCCCGTGCTTTCCAGCTTTGGTCTATTTATGTTTAAAGGCAGGGGTGATTAACTGAGCAGTTTCTTTACCTATGACTATCTATTTCCAAAAATACTTTTTCCCAAGAATTACACACAAGGACTTGGAACTGTAGCTTTTATTTTAAAAAAGTAAGGCTTTCTCTCATGCTAAGCAAAATCAAAATTAGATCTGGTTTTGCAGAGTAGTATGAATGCTTTTATCATACTAAAAAATTACATAGGACAGTAGCAGTCCCTTGAAACTGCTACAAGAGATTTACTGAAGCATCCGAGTCAAGACATTTAAACTGGACAGTCATAAATATGAATTTCTTGGTCATCACCAACAGACACAATTTTGGACCCACTTCCATTGTATTTCACTCCCCAAACCTGTTAAAAAAGACATAATGCAAGTTTAGCCAGAGAGGACAAAGGAAAAGAATCTTTGTGACAGTAATATTTATTACAAGCAATAGAGCAAGGATTATTTGAAAATAACTAATTAGAACTGGGGCAGTTCTGGCTTCTGCTTTACCAGCAGCCAAGGCTGCCAAAACAGAGCAGGACACTGCCCTCTAGGAGCCTGACGAGCTCCTAGAGCCAGTCCCACTGACTGGCCAGAGATACTCGGTCAGGGCTGAAAAGTGCTTGCCCCAGCTTACATAAATAACCCAAGCATTTTCACTCTTGCCCATCTGCAGCCCTTTCTGAAAATAGGATTTTACAGTGCAGGAAAGCAAGAGAGGAAGTATTTGTCATGCCGACTGAGACATCATGACAGACTGAAGAATGACCAGGCTTATCCTTGAGCTCTTTCAGAGAACCGTTTACCTACCAGTGCAAAACTTACTGAGAAAAGTTCAGATCAGTCCTGTGATCTAAGACAGTTACACAAGTTTACCTGACAGCCATCTTCACCAGAATGATACCAGGGAGAGTGAAGGCTACTCAGCACATTAATGTGAAATGCAGAGTGGGTGTGTTGACAGCAGTATGTTTTGGGCAATCCCGTGCTCTATTTTGCACTAGTACCCAAACCCAGCATTCTCACTAACTAACACATCTCTGCTACTGAATGACATCATACACAACAGAACGAGATCATACACAACAGCTAAAACAACAGGGGAAATCATGTCCCACTTGGTACTTCAGTATTAAAACCCCCATAATTATAGGTAACTGAAAAGAAGGTTCCCAGCAAGAATTTACTACGGAAGAAAACATTCAAAATTTGGAAGAATGTCCTTTGTTTCTTGCTCAATGGTCCATTAAAATATAACATTGTTCTATTTATCACCTAACAATTGGACAAAGAGGAAATGGGTAGAATCCAAACTCCTTTCCACACAGGTAGCTATCACTGAACAATAAATTAAAAACCCATGTATTACAGACACAGAAGGAGGAAAAACTCCCAAGTTCCCCGGCTGCTTCCAAGCATCTGTTTAAGTAATTCCATCCTGTTAAATAAGTATTTCCACCCTTACACAAGCACATGCTGTGTTAGTCACAGAAATAAGTAAAACCAGAGACAAAGGTAACAAATAGAGTCTGGTGAGACTTAGGCCACTCAGGATTGCCTTTATTTGGGCCTGAAAAATGTTCATTACTTGGAAGAGATCAGCATATACACCTAGGAGCACCAGCTCAATATTAAGTGCTAAATAACCACAACTTCTAAAATTTTATTATAGCAGGCTAAAGTTGCATTACTGCAAGCCTGGAGCTACAGCACCAAAGTGAAGCACAAATTTGCACAACTACACAAACTCTCCTGGGAATGTGGTGACTCAGGGAATAGCAACCATACCTGATCTTGGTGATCAAAAAAAGTATGGACACAGGTCCTCGTTCCAGCATCCCAAACCTTCACACTTTTATCAGATGAACTGAAAGAAAAAGAATATTGATTAATGTTTAAATTAATATATTAACTAAAGTTTAATGCAAACTTTAAAGGGTCTCATATGGTAGACATAAGAAACCCTCTTTCACCCATCAAATACAGGGATGAAGTAGTAAAGGACTGCATCTTCTGCCAGGTTCCATTACCTTTAAAATAAATTTAATGTTCCAACATCTGCAATGTGAAAATGAAGACTCCCATTTTGGCCAAAAAATTCTTTGAGGCAAGTTCTTTGGATAAGGAAATTCCTGTTACATCTACTTGGTCCCCCAGCTGTCTCAGCTGTTTTAAGAATAAATCCTAAAGTTCAAGTAGATTAATGTACTACAAGTTTAGGTTGTAATTCTTGATTCAACAGCAATTTTTTTCAGCTATTTAGAATCAAATTGCTGTTCTCTTAGGTTAGGTGTTTTTCACTTGTCAGGAACTACACTGCAGTGGGATGACTTACTCTGTAAAATGCTCTCACTACAGCTGGTATCACATCACAGATTGGCCCAAGCCTTTAAATTTCATGCTATTTTGTTACAGATCCCACTGCAATTTGTACATATAATTTTTTTTTTCAGTAATCATAAACAATTAAAAATCCTCAATACCTGGAAACAAAATGGGTATCATCAGGACAAAATGCTACATTTAAAACCCAGGATCCATGACCACTTAATGTGCCAGCCAAGTTTGCATGTTGCCTGTGGAAAGACACATTAATATTTGCTTTGTGAATTGCAGGGGGAAAGCAATAGGAATTTACGCTAGCTAGTGCAATCAAGAATGGTTCAATGGAAGGTGACTTCTGGACATTTGTTCATCCAAGCTGAACTGGTGTTACAGCAGATTCTATTTTTCCATTTCAAATAGTTAACATAAAAATAAGTCACTAAGAAGACAGACTGGAGGACAAAAATTCACCAAAGCAATGCAGGTTTAGGGGATGAAGACAACTGAAGCAGGGCAATTTCCTCCCCAGCGTCTTACAAGGTATTGCAAGATGCAACAGAAATAGGTCATAAATATAATTAGCTGAGTACAGAACAGATGTTTAGGAAGGATGAACACAAGCTCACAGGACAGATACATGGAAGAATTAGATTACTGGCTACAGGCAAATATGAGGAAAGTAATTTGTTTTCAATTTACAGCTTTCTTCTACCGCTACACTTTCAAAAACCATATAAGGATGTAGTATTTTATGATTTAAGATTATTTATTACATAAAAAGTCACCAAAAGCTGAAAGGAATTCTGGAGGGTTTGATGTATGTTTCACAGTATCAGCCTCTCTAAGCAGTGGCTGTTCTGCCAGCAGGGCTGGCAGTCCCCACTCACACGTCGTAGATCTTGATGTAGCCATCATCGGAGGCGGTGACAAGTAACTGGGAGTCAGGGGAGAAGGTCAGCGAGCGGATGGGCATGGCGTGGCCTGCAGGCACAGGGACACAGAGCAGCACTGGCACTCCCCTCACTGACACCAGCGCTCAGCAAGCTACTCCATAACAGCACTGCCTGCTCAGAGACAGCAGCCTCCAAAGCCTCTTTCTCTCTAGAGGCTTCTTCCCACAAAAAATGAAAATGCAAACAGGCAGCAATTCTCAACTGTGAATGTTAAGGCATGTCTGCAACACAAAAAGTATCTTGTTTCTTTTAGCTGTGGATCTCTATTAGAAATTATGTCATATTTTACAGTATGATTGCATATTTAAGTGGTTGGGGTTTTGGTTACAACAGGGCAGAAACAGCATGAACATTAAAAGCCCATTTATCTGTTAGAAAAAAATGTATGTATTCTATCACATAAAATGTTCAGTTGTTTTTTAGAACAGCAAAAAATTGCTTTAGAACAAATCACGTAAGAAAAGAAAAACCATATGCATGACAGCACACATTTGACTTGGCTTAATTCCCTTGTATTTTTCTGCAATACAATGAGCTCCTAGTTAAGAATTTAGTTAAGCATTACTGGCTGTATCTTTTTTAAATGCCTTTAAAAGGCATTTATGATGCAAGCCTGAGTTTACAGTTTGTCTCTAATATTTTAAGTGGGTTAGGTTAGAGCACACTAAACAAATACTGTTTAATGGACAGAAAATGTCAACTCACTTTTGCCACGGTTGTTGTAGCTTATTATGACCTGCATTATATCCTTTAATTTTCTCAGAAATGAGGTCAGAATTAGGTACTGCAAATAACCAAGCCATACCTTCTAGCGTATGCAGAAGTTTTCCAGTTGCAATATCAAAAATATTGATAATGCCATCTATTGCTCCACTGGCCAAGTATTTTCCATCTGGACTCTATAATAAAACACAAAAAGTGTGATTCAACATCTGTATGCATTTATGCTGTGTAAGCCCTGACATTCCCTTGGCAACTTTTCACAAATAATGATCTATGCAAGATATCTGTGCTTCAAAAGTCCACTGAAGACTATAAAAAAGATCCAAATATATTTTCCACACATGCAAGGGGGAAATGTCATACAATCTGTATTTGGAACTATGGCTGTCACCTAGTATTATTGAAGAGATAAACTGATAGATGGAAACAGAAATACCTATTTACAACATATTATAGCAATAGCAATTTCTCATAAGGAATTATCAATTGTGCTTCTTACATATGCAATGCTAAGGATGAACTTTCCTCTGGTGTCCAGAGAATATTCTTTCTTTCCAGTTTCAACACCGAAAATATTTACTTTTCCCACATGACTTCCTGTTGCAAGGTACTGGGAATCAGGTGAAAAAGCCAGGGACCAAGCATCAACTGTATTAAAAAATAAAAACCAGTTAGCTGGATCCTGTTCTTGGTTCTTATTCAACAGTGTCAGTTCTATATGCATCTGTTTAGATATATAACCCTCTAAGAGTGTACAAGCTTATCAAGTTACCCCTTTTGTGTAATTAATGGAGTGTAGCTTGAGCCATTTACTTACATTTAGTAAAA